ACGTAAACTTTAAAAGATTCACCACTCGAACACCCCGTCTAACTGTCGTAATTCGCAAGAATTGCACGTTAACAATACACTTTATATTTAAAATAACTCATAACATTTAAAAAGATTATTATCTGATTATTTATGACTTTGAAAAATTCTTTAATATTAATCTTAATTTTAAATTAAAAAACTTTTCTTTTTCTAATTACAACATTACATATAACCTTTTTTTTTTATCTCAAATAGATTAAATCCTATTAATACTATAAAGTGTTTAGAATTTTATTAATTAAATTTTTGATATAATAGTAATAACGTTCTCTTTTTCTTCTTTATAAGTGTTTTTTTCAGAATGTGATAATCTTAGCTTAAATTAAATTTAATTTCAGAGAATGCAGAGTTTGTCTTTTTTTGATTAATCTTAAATTAGTTTTAACAAGATTTTTGTAATTTCTTTTTAAAATTGTATTTTAAAAAATTTTAAATTACTTTTATTATAATAAAGATCTTGTGAAACTATCACATTTTTAAAAAAAGTTATATAAAAGGATTATCCTCTTAATCACCTATTACTTTAATAATAAAATAATAAAGTTTGTTTTTTTAATATAAACAAATACTTATATTTGACAGTAAATATAAAAGTATATTAAATAGTTAAATGAATATATTGATTAAATGAAATTATGCGAAAACGTATATTTGATTAATTTGATTTTACAGAAAATTTAGAAAATTTATGATGTTAAAATAATTGAATGGAAGATCTAATAATAATGAATTTTATTAGAAAATATGGAACAGAAAACAGAGATTATTACTATTACAAAAATTAAAGAATTATAATTTGAGAAAATGAAAAATACAACATTAATAGAAAATATAAAATCTATTATAATAATAAAATAATCAAATAGAGGGTTTACTAAATAGAATAACAAATACATTAAATTTATAGATGATAAAAAAAATGAAAAAAAAGTATATTCTAAAGAATAACTAATAGATGACAATGCTAAAATAATAAAAATTGAAAAGAAAGAAATTAAAGAATTATGAATTGAAGAATTAATATTCTGAAATAAATAAAATGAATAGAAAAGATTCTTGGATAAATAAAAATTAATTTGTAAAATAAATTCTTTTGAAGATGAATGACAGAAATAGTTCAAAAAGATACAGCTCTTATTGAAATTATCAACTCAAAAAATATCAATAATTTGTATAAATAAGATTTTAGTAATTACAGTGCTTATTTTTAGGATACTTATTTTTAGAAGAATACAGTAATAAATATTATATTTAAATAATTTATTAATTTTAAATTTAAAAATTCATTTTATTAATTATAATAGTTGTTTAATTAAGGTAAATTTTATTAATAAATTTTATCAAGTTAAAGATAATTTTTAATAAATTTTATCTAATTACTAATTTAAAGTAATTTTTATTATTAAAATTTTTAAATTGATTAATGAAATTTATTAATTTAAAAACAAATTTATTATAAATAATATAAGATTATACAAATTAGTTATAAATAATATTTAATTAGTAATTAGTCAAAAGATAAACTATTATTGGTGTAACTTGAGTAAAGGCCAACAAACAAACAGATCGATTGGTTGAATAACAATTTATTTATTTATCGGAATTTTTTTTTTTTTAAAAAAAAAAAAGAAAAAAAGCTTAGCTATTACAGAGGAAACATTTGTTGATTATGTAACTAATAGACTATGTTCATATCTTAATGCTTGTATGCAAGAAACAAAAGAAACAAATGCCAAACTATAACATCTTTTTTATAGGAGACTCTGCTACACAAACCAATTTTGGAAATTACCCGAATTGTAAAAGTGGACATCATCAGTTTTAAATTATACTCAGTACATTATTAGATAACGCGTTTTTTTTTTTTATTATTTTTTTAAAAAAAGAAATTATGTTCTTTGCGGTTGTCTAAAGAATATCCTTGTTCTTTTTTTGGATATAGAGAATGCCTTCTGATCAAACCTATTGTAGTAGTACAACAAAAGCAACCAGTTATATTTATTCAAAAGTTATGAAGCGATCAAGTGTTCGAAAATTAAGATCTCAAACATCTAAAGCAAAGACAGCAGCACAAAGGGACTCCTCACCTTTTGATAATATTAGTGAACGTAGTAATAGTAGCGGTAGATATCAACTAAGACAATCCTCACTCTCTCCTTCCGGTTCTCAACCAACTGATGTCAATGCAAGTTTTATCTCGGTATCAAGTATACCCAATGAAGATTTTAATACAGTACAGACAGAATCAAATTTAGCCTCACAACAATCATCATCAGATAATAACTCTGATGATAATTATTCAAATTTAATTATCAATCATTCAGGAAGTTCGACATATAGCTTTTCTCGTTCGTCGTCAATTCCATTATCTAGAGCAAATTCTTTTATTGGTACGGAATCGGTATACTCTGCCAATAGTAGATCGCGTGCATCTTCACCATTTGTAGAAACCTCATCTGATATTAGATCTGAAGTTACATCAACAAATAATTCTAGAAGGTCATCTGTTTTATATCAATCTTTTACCTATGAAGGAAATTCTTCCGATGACACTTGTTCCGCTGTTATCATGCCATTAGAGACTTCAACTTTAGAAAAAAATATTATACAAGAAGGATTAGAGTCAACATCCACCAATATTATTGACAATGATAATGATAACATCACACAACAAGCACCAACAGAAGGAGGGGATAATCTTATTCGTCGAGCATTTAATAGGGTTAGAAATACTTTTATTTGGAGTAAACTTATTGAAATGATCATTTTAACAAAGGAATGGGTTAAAAGTACGATTACACGCGATAATTGGAGATATATTGCGATGGCAACATTGATCACAATACTCTTCTATTATTTTGTTCCTTGTAACATGGGAGACTTGAAGAATCTAGAATTTTCGGAATGCATGACAAAGATTAATAATGTGATTCATCAATATAACGTGGAATTGACGGATTCATCAACAGCGTTTGATAGGGATAGTGACGCATTGATTCGAGATGTGGTTGCGGATCAAGTCAAAACGGTGTGTGCAGCGGAAGTACAAAAAAGAATTCCAACACAAAGTTATGATTTAGCAACTAGAGAAGATCTTGTAGTTGATATTGTACGACAAGAAATTAGAAAGGCAGTAGAAGAAATGTTATATACTTATTCACAGGATAAATTAAATAAGGCAGATTTCGCATTATCAACGGGAGGAGCGAAGATAATTAGTCAATTAACATCACCAACTTATGAGCAATGGCCAACTCAATGGTATAGACTGGCAATAGCAAAATTAACCGGTCATGGAATTACGAGGGGTAAACCACCGATAACCGCGTTACAACCGGAAACTCATGTTGGACAATGTTGGCCATTTGCAGGACAACAAGGACAAATAGCTGTATTGTTGAGTAGGAAGATTTATGTTACCGCAATTACTTATGATCATGTAAGTAAGACGGTGGCGATGGGAACAACCAGCGCTCCGAAAGAATTTGAAGTCTGGGCCTTTGTTGATGAAGATGACAATGAGAAACCGGATCAGCAAACAGGACAGGAATTCGATGAAAATTTCGATTATTCAACTAGCAATACGTTAAAGAATATTCCTATTAACCAACAAACTTCAAATAATCTAGATTCTTCATCGTCTAATCTTTTACATCTATCTGGCAAGGATTTAAAACTTGGATCATCTCCAAATCATTTATTTTTGGGACGTTTTATTTATGATATAAGTGGTTCGCCCATTCAAACCTTTGAGGTGGTGAATAAACCGAATAAACCTACACCAATTCGAGCCATTATTATGAAGGTAAATAGTAATTGGGATAATCCATTATATACATGTTTATATCGATTTCGTGTACATGGTATACGAGCTGATGTAAATTCCGGTACTGGATGAAATTCCGAGTTGATATTTCTTGTAGGAAACAAATTGGTGTAAAATAAATATATATTTCTCCCTCTTTTTTTGGGTTTCTTTTAATAAATCTTTTTTAACCTTTTTTATAAGTAAATCATGTGACCTTGCAGCGGATCAAAATTTCACCCGGCCATATGAGGTCACGTGGAGTGAATTTTTTTTTTTTTTTTGGCGAAAGATGCGGATCAAAATAAAAATTCTCGATTTTTATCTTTTTTTTTTTTCTTTCTCTTTACTTCCCATTAAAAAAAAAAGGTGTGATAGATGTCAATCGAATCTTCACAGGTGGAAACACCAAAAAAAATCGCGATAGTAGGAATTCAAGACGAATACACACGAAATATAATAATCAAATCATTCAAAAAAATTCTACCCGATTTGCAAATATTACAATTTTCGACGACGACGACGCTTACCTTCACAAGTGCAAAAATAGTACATTGGTTAGAATACGAGGACATCGATTTTTTTAATCAAACATTGTTAAATAAACATTCGCAACTGGTAAATTCATATTGTATCAGGAAAGGATTGATTCGTAAAGCAAATTTTAATTTCAATATACGAAAATATTTGAGTAAAAATCAAAATAGTATTTTAAAGAGTTCCATACCTGAAACTTGGTACTTTGAAGTTACGCACAAAGATTATTTAGATGAAGCTCTTGAAGAAATTTTTGAGGTTGTAAACGAATGTAAAGAAAATGATGAAAGGATTAACGAAGAAAAGGTTAAATTTATTTTAAAACCGAGTTTAGGTAATAAAGGCGCAGAAATCAAAATTTTTGACAGCATCGATCAGTTAAGAAGCGTTTTCGAAGGGAAACACGACTTGAAGGAAGATGAAGATGACGATGAGAGCATATTTCATATAAGGGATTGGGTCGTACAACGATATATATCAAATCCATTGTTGATTCGAAATCGAAAATTTCATATTCGATCCTATATTTTAGCGATATCAAATTTACAAGTTTATCTCTACAAAGATATGTTGGCCCTTTTCGCGTTAAACGCGTACGCGCCCACCGATATCAATGACGCGTTATCACATTTAACGAATACCTGTTTACAAGTGAACGAAGTTTCCTTTAAGGAATCAAATCAAGTGAAATTATTTTGGGACTTATCAACGAAAGATGATGAAGGGGAGGTAGGTATAATCAGCAAACTTGATTTAGAGATGATTTTTAATCAAATCAAATCCATTTTAAATGATTGCTTTGATTCTATCGTTAATGAAGTAACTCAATTTATGCCCATGGAAAACGCTTTTGAATTATTTGGCTTTGATTTTTTGGTGGATCATGAAATGAACGCTTATCTATTGGAAGCAAATTCCGTAAGTTTTTATTTCGTCATTCATTATTTGTTATTTTTTTTTGCTTACTCTCGTTTCCATTTCTCGCAACACAGTTTCCAGATTTTAAACAGACGGGTGATGAGCTGTCTCACGTAATTTCAAATCTGTTTGAAGACACCATAAAATTGGCTATCGTTCCTTTCTTCGACGTAGAGTACATTAATGATCATGATTCAAAATTTTGTATGGTATTCAAAAAAGAAAAAACAAATAAACAAATAAACAAATAACAAATAAATCGATTGTAGTCATAAAAAAAAAAGTTTTTTTTTAATATTCTCAATTTATTTAATGATGATGATAAAATTTACATTACAAATCAAAAAGGAAAGTAATTATACAGCAAAGAATATGATCCTTTTATGGAATTAAACGATCGGTTTCGGGATTATATCTAATTTGTCTTAAATTCCACCAAGCGACAAACCGTCTAACCAAAACTCTCAGAACACCTCCTAATATCAAACCAGAAGCGACAGATGAAGCAATCAAAATTGGAACCGTATCTTGTTGTTTAACCGCAATACCAGTAAGTGCCCAAGCGATGGTAGCCGCAAAGACGGCGTCATTTCTTTTATGGTAATCAGAAAAGTAAACTCCAACAGCTCCAAGAAATGCGATGGCAATGGTGGACAAGAATACGGTATCAAGTGTGGAAATTGCTGCCCAAAAGTTCAAAATTGTCGCTACAAAAGTCCACGCTGCATACATTGTAAAAGGGTAATGAATGAAAATTCGATCCCAAATAACCTTTGGAGGATAGTATTCCGTAATAATATTATATGCTCGGAAAGTGACTAAAAAGAGGGCTGCAAGGACAAAAGCATCGAGGAGAACGAGATTCTCGTTGCGCTGTAAATGTTGAAATAAAAAAAATAGATCAATTTATGAACTTTTTTTTTTTTTGGAGAATGAAAAAGAATAATTTACCCAAATCAATAACCAGGTAACGTTCAAAATGCTGGCAGCAACATGATAATATTGAATTCCCTCAACGGTTACAGATTCAGCAGCATCGGTCCATTGATAAATGATAAAACCGCCAAGTAAGGTATAAATAAGATACCAAATTTTAAAAGTATATTCTGCAGGTAAAAGGTGGGTTACTGGAACTGTTCCGTTATCGTTTTCAAATGATAAAGTGTTATTATCGCCTGGTTCAGTATCCGGTTGTTTACGTTCGTCACCCACATGTATGATAGAATTAACAACGATAACCAAGAGAAAGGCAACAATATTGGCTGTCTTGAGGAAAATACTGTGACGAGACATTTTTGATTTTTAACTTTGGCGTCTGTAAAGAAGAAAAGGAGGAATATATGAGAAAAACATCTCGCATCTTAACGCCTTCATTTGTTTGATGATTTAGTACGACATTTATTATATTTTATTGTTATTGTCTGACCACCTGGGCGTAAAGTTTACGCAATTTTACAAGGGTGTTTTATTTATTACCTTTTTCAAATCGATATCGGATTGAAAATCTTGATTATCTTGCAAACCATTTAAAGGTTTGATACATATTGCGAGTTCGAAAAAATTCAATATGTCATTGCCCTCGCGAAAAGGACAAGTTTAAATAAAAAAAATATTTTTATATATTTCTTTCTAACTTATCACTGGAATACACGAATTACATGGCACAAGAAAATATTCAATCCGGTGAAACCATTCAGAATAGTATATACTGTGTATATATATTTTTTTAAAAAAAATATCCGATTATATGTTTGTAATGCCTTAGCAATCATAGAATGGAATAGAATATATAATTCCTAAATTCCTAACAATTTAATAATTTGATATTTGAAAAAGTAACTTACATTAAATAATTCAAATTTTATATTTATAAAATTTGAATATTCTATTACTTTATATTCAAACCATTTTTAACAATTATTATTAACTTTTTTAAATTCTGATAAAATATTAAATTATTAAACATCATATTTTATTAAATTTTGTTTTATTCGGTTAAAAAGTAATTTATTCAACTCCCCGTGCGATATCATTGCCTCTCTTTTGTCACCCGTGTCACACCCCTCCTTTCTTCATTTTTCATATATATATATTCCGGTCAAAACTAAGATGTGATATTAAACGCAGCGCGTGAAGAATAGATTTTTTAACTAAAAAATTTCTCTGTTCCCGGCATTATATAATTTTGCCTAGAGGCAATGCATCGCATGGCGCGATGAATAAATTTACTCTTTGGTAATTAAGTATTTTCATAAAATTATTAATAATTAAATCTGCTTCATAATTTTTATATTACGTTAATTGATGTTATTAGATTAAATAACCTTTAACTTTAAAGATTAGATTAAAACCATTTTATTAAGAAATATAAGTATATTCTTATTAAACCAATAGCTATTAAGATATTACACTAATAGATAATTTTGCAAATCATTATTAAGTGAAGCTGTAATTTTAATTATAACTTAACAATTAAAACTTTGAAAAGACGAAAATAATAATATCATGTTAATAAAGTTAAATAATTAAATAGGTTTATTAAATTTAATTTATTAATGAAATATATAGTTTTTTTAATTTTACTATATCTTTAATTAATAATAAAAGTAAATTAAAAATTTTATATAAATATAATAGGAAATCTATGTAATTTTAACAGTCAATTAGATAAGTAATATATTTATAAAATTTTAAGATAATTTTAAGTATTCACATTAAAAAATAATTAAAATTTATATTTAATAAATAATATTTTAGAATTAAATTATATTGATCTAATTACTTTATTTAATAAATCAAACTTTATTTTTATAATTTTAATTTGTTAAACTTTATAATATAAAATCTAATTTATTATTGCTCTTTTTTTTTTATTATTTTAAAATAATAATTCTATTGATAAAGATAAATTTTTAGAATTATTAATATAATTAATAACTAAAATTATATTATATATTTTATAATAATAAGCTTCACAATTTATATAATAAAGTATATCAATACTATAATTATTTTCTAATATATTTAATATAGATGCTTGCCGAAACCTTCTCAAAATAATTTCGTCATATTCTTTTCTATGTTTTTAATATAGTTTTGACAGTTTGGCTTTCGTTATATTAAATGGGTTTCATCGTATCTCTTATTATAATTTTAATATAGTTTTGTCTAAGTTTCGACTGTTATTAAGGAGTTTCGTCCCTCATCTTAATATTTAACAAAATTTATTAAGTTAATAATAATTTTTTATTATCATTATAATTTAAAAATTTTTTATTGAATTTTATTAACAATTAATTCTATTGAATTTAAATCAGATTATTTATTAAAAAAATTGTTTAAAATTAAAAGGATTTTCAAGAATATTTATAAAAAGTAAATAATTTTTAATTATAAATTTTTGTATATAAACAAATATAATATTATTATAATTATAATTTTAATAATATATCTATTAAAAATTTAATTAAGTTTTTCAACTTTTTAGTATTAAAAAATTTAAAGATTTCATATATTTATTTGATTTTAAAATTGAATATTTTAAAATTTTTAATATTTTCTAAAATTAAAAATAATATGTATAAATAATATTTATTTCTTTTTTTAATTTTTAAATTTATTTTATAATCTGAATAATT